TCTAAATTATACTTTCCAACCCTCGTTTTTGATTTCTAACCATTAGAAACAAGTTATATTACTATAAATTGTATACTGACTAAGTTTTGAACATATTTTAAGTTTTAAATGTGATTCTGTTTCTGATTGGACGGACCAATTTTTGGCGCCAAATTCAAATGAGTTATGTTCCTATATAACACCTACAAACCAGGTATCATCTGTTATTCCATTTGATAAAGTCTTAGACGAAACGCGTTATGGATATTTAATTATTGTGTTTGTAAATATATTAAAGTATTTTTTGGTCATTTGTTTGTGCCAATAATCTTTTTTATAGACACATAATACTCTTTTTACCCTGGCTTTTTAATTATTATTTTTATTGGTTTTAAAAAAACCTGAAAACCCCTGGAAGTTTCCTGCATTTAAAGAAATCCAAGGTGGGGATCAATCCACCCAAGCTGTCATCACGGAGCAGTTGGTCTGCTCTGGTTTTGTAAGTACATTCTTTTATTATTTTATCAATATTGCTATACAGTGAGCACTATTGGCTGTCTCTTTTATTTCGAGAAACTGGACACGTATCACAGAGAGGAACCCATCTATATCCCATAAGCGGGGATCAAACCGCCGTATGCGCTTTATTCCAGAGCTAGGACATTAGCTCTGATAAATGTGAGTTTTATATTATTATTTCTACACATCCATATTAGAACTCTACATACTACACTATTGGTTGTCCCCCTCTCTCTTTTTATCTTTCATATAAGTGGACTCACTACAAAGTAGAAGACGTCAACAGCAAAGACTATCTGTAAGGACAATAATATTGGACTTTTCCTTCTTTCCAATTGGACTTTATTTTATTTAAAAATAACTTTTTTATTTTATTCCAATTTTATCTGAGTGCGCAGCCTTTTTTCTTCTTTTTCTTATTTTAACTAAATGTAACCTATTTTCATTTAAAAGGATGTTTTTCTGGAACCGCGGTTTTAACAGTATGCCTGTGGACCCAGATAAAGCGACCCGGATGGTGGTGAAATGCACGTCTGACCTTTAGTTATTGTTTGATTTTAACTTGCATCTTTGTACTATGCTACTGTGCTTTAAACTTTATAGTAGCACAATTGGAGATCTTATTAATCATTGAGTAAGTGTGCAGCATGGATGAAGATGCTGTGGCCCCAGGGATTAACACAGAAGTTGAGATACTGGTCCACTTACTGTACAGGAGACTTCACAGAGGGGATTTTCCCCCTTGTATTAAACATAGGAATACACAAGGAGAAAGATACACTGATCAGTCACAACATTAAAATCACAGACAGGTGAAGTGAGTGATACTGATATATCACTACAATGGCCCCTGTCAAAGGATGGGATCTATTAGGCAGCAAGTGAACAGTCAGTTCTTGAATTTCATATTTTGGAAGCAGGAAAAATGGGCAAGTAAAAGATCTGAGTGACTTTGATAAGTCCCAGATCATGATGGCTAGACTGGGTCAGATCATCCCCAAAACGTCAAGTTCAGGGTTTTCAGTATGCAGTGGTGAGTACCTACCAAAAGTGGTGCAAGGAAGGACAACCAGTGATGCATTTGGGTTGCGAAGGCTAGTCCGTTTGGTCCAATCACACAGAAGCTCAAATAGCTCAAATTATTGAGAAAACTTAATGTTGGACATGATAGAAAGATGTCAGAACACATTGCCGTTTTCTGTGTATGGGGCTACGTAGCTGCACACTGGTCAGAGTGTTTAGGATGATTTCTGTCCACCACTGAAAGCACCTTAAATGATGACGCGAGCATCAGAAATGAACCACAGAGCAATGCAAGAATGTTCTTGAGAGTAATTGGGGCATTGGGGCATTCAATTAAATAGTCAATTTAGTACTACTAATATTAATTTTTTAGATTTAGATATTTATATAGATAGTGGTATTTTAAAAACTAAAAACTATTTCAAAAAGGTAGATGCTAATAGTTATGTCCTATACAACAGTGGACATTATACACCCTGGTTGAATAATATTCCAAAAGGACAGTTACAAAGAATAAGAAGAAAATATACGGAGAAGTTTTTGAAGAACAAGCCACTGTCATTTTAGACAAATTTTCACAGAAAAAATATCCTGATGAATTATTAAAAAAAAAGCATTGGAAGAAGTTAAAATATTAGATCAGGAGAGTATTATTTATAAAGAAAATAAGAGTATGGATTTCAGAGGAACCCCCAATTTAAACGAATGCTGACTTTTAATCACCCTAAGGCAGAAATACCCAAAACCTTTTTAAGTATTAATAAAAAAAGGTTTTTATTCTTGTGGGAAATGTGTAGGCTGCAAGTGTAGTAAAAATAGGACGCTGATGGGTATAAATAAATTTAAAACTAAATGTAAACAAGAGGATTTTTATGTTAATGATTTTATAACTTGTTTTAGTACAAATGTTATTTATCTCTTAATCTGTCCATGTGGGCTACAATATGTTGGTCGAACAATTCGTCCTCTTCATAAACGTATTTATGAACATGTTAACAATATTAAAAAAGGTTTCGAACAACATAGTGTGTCTGCACATTTCAAAAGATGCCACAATAAGGATCCAAGCGGGTTAACCTTTTTAGGTATTCAAATAATGAATAAATCATGGAGAGGAGGGAATCATGTCTTAGATATAGGAAAAGAAGAAGTGAAATGCTTCATAAACTGCAGACTTTACAACCTAAAGGACTGAATATTGAATTTGACTTGTTTAATTTTTTTATAATATATATTTTTTATTATTATATCAATGTTTCTTCTTTTTCCTTTCCCCTTTTTTTAGTAGGTGAAACTATATTGGTAGTGCTACTATTCTCTTTTTTTATAAATTTTAAGATTATATCTCTTTAAATATAATGTGATCCTAAATGAACTTTGGTTTTAGTAATATGATATTTTTTAAATATCTTCAATTTTTCTAGATTATTGATTTTTTTTATACAATATGTTTTTAGATGAATAATTATGTTTTAATAAAATATCATGCTCTTTTAAGAGATATGTATAATCTATAAAAATGTGTGTATATAGATATTTATTATTATCCTGAATAGGCTATATGGATATCTGCTTTGCATCTAGAAAGAAAGACATTTAGGCGATGTGCCTTTTACGTTTTTTTAAGAGACTTAATAAGGACCAATCAACTCAATTAATCTGGCAATTATGTATGAATTAAATGGATATAAAACAGACACAGATGCCAGACCCAGAATGTGATCCAAAGAAGCCGCTTAGGCGAAACGCGTCGTCACGTTTTCAGACGCACGACGTCAGGATGCACTGAAAGAAGCTGGTATTCCCCGAGAGATCCACACACCGTTCCGGTGCCCATTAAAGACCGCAAGCACTAGTCAGCGTGTCAGGAGGGTCTGAGGACTGTGGCTACAGGGATCAAGCTCTTGTGTTTTTTTAATGTTTTTTTTGCTACCAATAAAGGCTTGAATTTTATCCAGCTGCCGTCCTGCCTGTGAAATCGTGGTCCTGCATCCTGATATATCTGGGCTATTAACCCCTTAAGGACCAAACTTCTGGAATAAAAGGGAATCATGACATGTCACACATGTCATGTGTCCTTAAGGGGTTAAAGTGAGAGCAGACTGTTACTGCTCCTTTCTTGTGAGTTGATTGGTTTACTTTGTATTTTTCTGAGTCTTATTTACAGATTTACACTATATCCCTTTTTCTTTTCTATCTCCCCCCTCTTTTTTGGTCTAAGTTACCCAATATTTGGGAAAACATATTCAAGTCATTTATGTAAGTGTTTTTTTATACATTGTATCACTTGGACACTTTTTGGAAGATACACTGTTTTGTGATTTTGCACTTTATGATCTTGATTTTGTACTTTATATATATCAGATATGCACAATGATGTATTCATGAATTACTATCCTTAAAGGCACAGCACACTTTTTTCCTAATTTTATATGGAGTGTTTTTTCTGAGCTATTTTACTCTTAATTAGTGCTGCTTGTCCTGTATGGTATTTTATATTCACTTAAGGAAAGATTAAAAGTTGTTATAGAATAGTTTATACTGAATCTCATTGTATTGTTTAGGTCCAGAAACCCATTAAAAAAATTTTTTTTTTTTAAATCTGGAGAATATAGCCCACTCAAGGATTTAATAGTGCTCTGCTATTCCCCTGTTGAAAAGAGTTGTATTTATTGGTCTTGAAGTAAATCAATCCAGACACTACACAGCATCCAATGCGGATAAGAAAAATAACACTGTTCAATCCATGACATGCTAAAGCAGGAGTACTAGTTAATATTAGATATACTCTGAGGGTCAAATGTTATTAGACATAGATAAAAGGCAGAAGTAACCCATTTAGATATCTGGATGTTTTTGGAATCCATAATTCTATTTTCCATTTTTCTCATTAAGTGTTTCAGGGGGGTCCTTGAGGACTGGGTTGAGAAACCCTGCACTAGAAGCTAGATTAACCCTAGTGTAAACATAGCAGTTTCTCTGAAACCAATAACCAATCAGACCTGGTACCGAGACCACTTCATTGAGCTGAAGTGGTCTGGGTGTCTGTAGTGGTTCTTTAACCATTTTTATTTGTCACACCTGTGTGTAAAACCACAATCATGATTTAAAACCATAAAGCGGGGGCGGGGCCTAACCGCTGAAGCGAGAAGACACTAACCTGTGCAGCTCCTGCTTCACACCGTGATTTAATCGGTTTTCAGCCATAAAAAAGCGACCCAATCGGCTAAAAAGGCCACCAGGTGGAAGGTGACACGGAGAGGCACAGAATGGTGCCACACAAGCGACCTGTGCAGCGCAACTCACCCGCTCCTCCTGCATGGCCTACTTGCATGATCGGCATAAGGGAGACGGCCGCTCCCCTGCTGACCTCCACGGCGGACAGACCACAACAAGGCCCACGTTCCCCCCCCTCTGGACCGGTGGGGGTCATCCCGGTCCAGCCTCAGGAGACCCGGGCACAACCTGGCGAAAGCGCTATGGCAATCACGGGACCTGAACCAAGCAGTAGTACCGCACACAAAATGGCGGAGACAATGTACTCCACCAGCACTAGAGGCGAGCAGACGGAGGCAGAGAACCGGCTGGATAAAGCCTTTCAAGCCTTCTGGGAAAAGCTGGAAGCTCTTCTGTCCCCAACAACCCCGGAGAAAGGGCCTGCCACCCTACTGCGCACTCCCACAAGCTTAACCAAACAGAAGACCACACAGAAACTCCTACCACTAGGCTGCACGGAAAAATGGAGCTGGCGGGAAATCACCACGAGGCAGGGGACCAAAGATACATCTGGCGGCAACAGGAGCAAGAAAGCAACCCCCTGGTGCCCGAAAGTACCTAGGCCGAGGCGCACTAGCCCACTCACCCATCACCCTGGAGCTCCCAGACACCGGCTGAAGGTGCGAGTTGCCGCAGTGAGATCCCCCTGTAACAGACCACACGGGAAAGGGAGACTGCGACCGAGCAGACGGCACCTGAGGGGGCGCCCCACGAGCCACGAAACAAGCACCGCTCTGATCCAGCCCATGCCTGCCAGACAGCAACAGCGACGGCGGGACCACACCGGGACACAGACTCTCATTGAAGTATCAGGGGAAAACCCGTGGGGACAGAGAGGCCCACCCGACCAAGCACTTACAAGCCGGGGAAGTCGGCAGCATCACCCCTGGGCATGGGACTCTGCTTACATCCGGGACGGCATAGGTTAAGCGGGGCCTGACGAACTGGATGGCCATACCCTAACCTATTGAGGAGATATGGAAACGGCATACCAGCTGCACTCAAGAGAATCTATCTTGCCTCTTATATTCAGATATATATCGTTGTTGTGTTTTTGGTTTTTGTTTTTTGTCTCTATGATTCTTTCCAAGCGATCCTCAGGGGAAGCAGCTATGTGTTTAATTTACTCATGTTACCAAAAGGGGTTCCAGTGCATACTCACCACCCCTCACCTAACATTACCCAGCCTCTACACACACACGCACTGAGGGTTAAGATACCATAATATAGCACATACACTTAGGCTGTGTCCCCTACTTATGCCTGTCTGCCCACTGCGGACCAAAACCGCTTACCACTACTAAGCACTTGTCTCCGACCTCCCTGATGTTGCTTCTCACTACTTAACTCGTTGACTCTAAACTGTTACTGCAAAGTACATCACTAACACTTAGTTTTCTCTTTAATATCTTTAAGGCGCTAGGTTGGCATACAACCAAACAACCAGCCTGCATTAAAGAAAGTACTGTTACCTCTACTTACTGCACATCTAGATAATTCAATCACTGTGCTCCTAATGCCTATATGTCACACTACAACCAAGATACACACGCATAACCTAAAGAGCAACCAGTTCTGTTATATGCATGTCTAGCCTAGCAAGTTATACTACAAACATGATGTCTAATCGTTTGATATTTTCATGTAATATAAAAAAATGTGCCGTCTAAGCTGCCACGCTTTGTAATGTCATGGAAATGCTTGTAGAAGCTGTCGTGGCTCTACACGCTCGTTGTTAAACTATGCACAAGAAAAATAAAGAATTTTTAAAAAAAAAAAAAAACCATAAAGCACATACTTTGTCTCAATATTTTCCTTTAAGGATGAGTAAACTTAAAACTAGAATGGTCTAAAATTATCTAGTTTTACAATTTAGGCAACCCAAAGCAACATTCTATACATATTTTGTCTTCTTCGTGTGCTTGTTAACCAACTATATGTCCCGGTTTGTTAATGAGAATAGCTTGATTCTAATGGGCATAAAGTTACCATAGGCTGGGTTAAATGCTGGATTTTTGAATGTGATATATAGCATGCAGTTCTGCCCTTCCAAGTAGTAATGTCTAGGCATCAGTTTTACACATGCTAATGCTATTAAAGTTAGTATTTCCATTGCAATTAAAGTTAAATGTCAAGTTTGGGTAGAAGTATGCATACGTTTCTAGTACAGATTCAAATACATGTGACATTTATAAGCAGGTAGGTTTAAAAGAAAAAAGCTGTTTTTGCTCTCTGAATTTTACATTTAAGGCCAAAATAAACTTGCCAGAAGCATATGTGACTTAGAGAATTTTTTTAATTGAGGTATTTTGATCTTAAAATTGGAAATTAATTTTGAATTCCCAACACTGCTAACTTTAGTAAATGTGTTATTGAAGTGCACATACCAGTCCAGAAGGTTTTGGAACTACTGGTCTAGAACACTAAAGTCAAGTTTGTCAAGTTAATTTGTGCAAAGATGAAGAGCACATTGTAATGTTATGATGCCTCTGGAAGTTTTGAAAAAAATGGGAATTGGAGGGCACAACTGGTGCAGGCATTTCTCAGTAGTAGTGTTCAGTAAAGACCTGAATATATACCTTAATCAATCCTAGCCATTTTATCAAAGACATACAATTCAGTGAGGTTTGCTGGTTGCGTGCTTCACAGACATTCCAACATTCCACAAGCTGCTGAATTTTTTTTTTTCTCCTAAAACTGAAAATGTAACAGAAGTGTAGGCTTTCATGTTGGTTTGAGAGCTAGGCATTTTTCTGAGATTACTTTCTTCCTGTCTGCTGCCTTTCAAAAAGACAGGCTTCACCAGCAAGACTTTCAAAAGTAACTTTTATTCTCCTTAACGAGGTTCACATCTTTCTGATTTCTTTTAATGCACGGTTCTCAGAGTGGATGTTATTTACTACCTTTGCAGAATATGCAATTTATCTTTCCCAGCAAGATGCACATCTACATTTAGTTAGTGCTAGCCTATAATCAAATATGCAGTCTGTGCCTTTAGCCTCCTTATTGGATTTGGACCTTCACTTCAGCATTTTACTGTGGATATCCAGGTTTTCAGGGTGCGTTTGAAAGAATTTGCTGAAGATGTAGGATTTAAAATAAAATATTTTTACTTTGAAAATGCAATAGTAGTAATTTAAAGCACACCTACTACACCAATTAAAAGTGTATTGCTATACTCTAAATGTATTAATACAGAACATTTGATACTTTCAGGATTACATTTATTGCAGTCTGTTTTTCTGTCTTCTGGAATGAGGGTAGGTACGCTTTAAATAGTCCCATATTTTTTCATGTTAATTCTTTTACATGAATATAGCAAGCTATGCGTGACTGACTCAAATAAAAACATATGATCGCCTCTTTATAAATTAACTTGTGCAAAAAAAAAAAAGTTGAAATGATATTAAATGTATTCAAGTAAATCCAATATCAATGTCAAAGTCAGCCACATAAAGTCATAAAAAAAGTTATTGACTTCCTAATCCTACTTTGTCCCCACTTTTTGAAAAGATTTTGTAAAAAGTATGGATACATCTGTACAATATTTTCACTCAAATTTCGTTATGCTCTAGAGAAGAGATAATCAAGGCTAATAAAAGTGTGAAAGTTACAGATCCTAATATGCTACGCACACTACTATAACAGCTATTCAGTTAACTTGCCATAATCACCACTAAAACTCTCCATACAACTAACTTGTCATATTCAAGTATGTACTCTCTATACCACAATACACCAAACCAGAGTGCTGTGAGCAAGAGGCTTTTATAGGTAAAGTATTGATAAAATTAATAGGAGAAATAATTTTTTTTTTTTAATTAAAAATAAATAAATAAATTAATTTAAAAAAACAGGATGTATAATTAATTCAATAGACAGTAACAGCAAAGCTGGTGCAATTTGCATTAGTGGTGAGGTTCATAAATGCAGTGGTGATAACCATACGTTTTACTATATATAATTATATATACACAATTATGATTTAAATTGATTGTAAACAGTTTATTTCACATATAAATCTACAGGGAACGTCCATTGAAACAAATTAGTGACTCTGAGCCACCTGTGCTGTTTGCATACGGCAATGGGTTTACCGACTACATATCAATTCATAGCATATTAAAATACAAATTGCTAAATTTTGCTAAAAGTGGCTGATTTGGGGAATAAAAATCTCCATCTCAGCTGTAGTCTCAGGTGGGCTATTTCAGCATAAATGTTGTCATTCTGATTTAAATTCACATCAATTTAGTGTTTAGTAAATAAACACTATTTTAAGCATTTCTCGTGCAGGGAACACACAGGGTTTACTAAAGTGAGAATTCAAATTAAAGGCAAGAGTAGCTGAATTGGAACTACAGCTGACTTGGAGAATGCTTTCAGGTCGACTGTATTGGTCTTATATTTGAAATGCACCTTTATAGCACTTTTAGTTCTTACTTTAGTTAAAAACCATAACAGTGGCCTGTGTCTTTAAATGTAGATACTGCATATACACATAGAATGGGTGCATTTCATTTGCTTCTACTTTTTTTTTTTTTTTTTTTAACAATGTGTAAATGACCAATGTTTTTGAAAATATGATTTGTGTACATTTCTGTAACATTCAACATTAATATGCATAGTTCTTTGGCAGGGTTAATTATTAAAGTGAGATTTGTATGGATTTCAATAAGACCAAAATAGCTGAATTGGAAACTTTCTCCAAGTCAACAATGCTTCCAGTTTGACTTGGCTCCTGGATAAATTCATACTTTTACCTGTATTTTTAAATAATAAAATAAATATAAATTATGATGCTATAAAACCCAAAGAAAAGAGTAACTTGCGCACTACCCTTATGCATATTTTATAAAAATGTAGGTTTTTAGCATCACTCTATCACGCCACTGTGCATTGGAGGATCCTGGTTGCCTGCCTGCTGACTTTTGACTATGGACCGGCATTTAAATACTTTATTTTCCTATGTAGAAAGGTCTATTAATGTATTTCTGCCCAGGCGTTCGGTAGATTCTATCTACCGAACAAACAGCCCTCTATTTGGCCTCCCAGGAGCGGCGGTTAGCTGGCAGGCGCCGTTAATTGGCCGTCCAGAAGCCGGCGAGTGCCGCCAATTGACCGCCCAGTAGCTGCGGTTAACCGCAGCTTAATTGATTAGACCGGGTGGCCGCGGCTACGCATACTGAACACTGGATGGCAGCAGTCTGCAGTTCACACGCAGCCAGTTCATTCACGGATTTACTGAATAAACTCATTTAACCCAGATAGCTATGCCATGGAGCCTATTCATGTAATGAAAGACTTTGGCTCCATGGCAATTGAACTGTATGTGTGTGTCTGAGCGCCATTCAGTAATAATGTGCGCTCAGACCTAAGCTATCTGGGGATTTGTTGCATGTCTGTTTTTGATGTAATAAATGTAACCTTGTGTATTTTATTATGTTTTACTGTCTTTTTACTGCCACGTGCTTAATGGAGTTTTGCCTCTGACCTTGGAGATAATTGGATTACTTCCCAATTATCTCCAGTATAGAGAGGAGGGATTGTGATGTCATGGTGGGAGTGTTTATCTGTGTTGTATGTTTTGATTGGATGTTCCACAAAGCCCTGTGGTTGGGACTGTGTCTGTAAAATGTGTATATAAGGCCAATAAAGACACAGCTCAGTATGTACCTGCTTGACCCTCAACACGGAGCTTTGCCTCGTTCTTGGGGGGATTTACTGTATGCTGTTAGAGACTGATTGCCAGGAGTGTAAGCCGCTTGGGTGCTTTTCCTGTTCAGCTGCTAGCAGCTATTCGTGTGGTTCCAGTTCGGGAGTTTGGAGTGCTACTTTGCATCCCGTTTGGGAGTTTGGGGTTCTGCGGTAGCTGTGCCTGTGTCTCTGGAAGGGGAAGCCAACCTGGCTAAAATGCTCAGCAAGCTGG